ACTTATCGAGTTTATGAAAGTCTATGGTAAGATCTCTCACAGAAGTAGTCATCCTCGAGTGCATAACGTTTTTAGATTGTTAGGAATCTGGGATATAAAAAGAAGAACAATAACAGAAAAGTAAATAGGAACCGGATAACTCTTCAATGCGTGATACACTTTCCTAAAAACGTTATTCCGTCCTATACGAGCAAAGGACTTTCCGGAATACGTCTTTGAGATACAATGAAGAGAGAAGTGATCTTAGTTTGCTCTACTAAGAACACAAACACAAGAAATTGCAAGAAGAAGATGAACAAAAGGCTTTTGTGGGTGTTTTGCAGAACAACCACAAAAGTGCTCTCAAATCTCTCAAAAAACGAATTAGATCTGTTCTCTATTGTGTTAGGATGTCCAGGGGTGTTCATCAACACTCCAAATGTCGAAAGGTGTGAAGAAATCGGAAGTTTTTCCCGAACGGTCGCGATTTTTCGCTCAATCCGAACTGCTCAGAAAAAACGGGCTGCCCGCCCGTTTTGTCGAGCTACCCGCCCGTTTATTTCTGAATTGCTCAGAAAAAACAGGCTGCCCTCCCGGTTTTCCCGAGCTACCGCCCATTTATTTATGAGCTTTATTCCTCAGAAAAAACAGGCTGCCAGCTCATATTTTCGAGCTGCCCTCCCATTTTTTCTGAGATTACCTTTCACGTTCAAAACCGAACGTAAACACTTTCGACGTATCCTTAACACTTAGCCAATTCATACCACGTTTTTTACAAGCATTTAACTCCTCCACCATACTTGTAATACACGTTAAACATGAATCCTTTAGAGAGATTCTAAATTCCCATTCATTTACTCTAAAAATACCAACAATCATCTTGAGTTCAATGAGTTAAATCCTCTAATGTGTGGTTGTAGATGCTTAAAAGTGAATCATCCCGAGGTAAGCATCTTGGTATGCAACGTAAAGAGGTTGTTTATACTTAATGAATTCTTTGACAAAGTGCTTAGTTGCAGAGCACGATTTGAAAGAATTCACCTATGCAAGCATGAAGTGTGGCCGCTTCAAGATGTTGGAGGCTCGACATCTATGTGCTTGTGAAGGGGATATGGACACATGGTCGATATAGTGTCAAGGAGTACAAGAAATTGTATTGATTCTGTGTGTGTGTATACGCGGTAGCTCAACTAGGATTACGTAGGTTCAATCGTTTTCGACACCTACGGAATTCGAGTTTATTGTGGTATATTACACTAAGTGAAAGTTCAATCGTAAAGACACTTTCATTTATGCGCAGAATTGTGGAGATGAATGATTATTTGCTTGATATGCCATTGTTTAATTTACTCTAAAAATGGTGGAGGATTGTTGGGATTTTTAGAGTAAATGAATGGGAATTTAGAATCTCTCAAAAGGATTCATGTTTAACGTGTATTACAAGTATGGTGGAGGAGTTAAATGCTTGTAAAAAACGTGGTATGAATTGGCTAAGTGTTAAGGATACGTCGAAAGTGTTTACGTTCGGTTTTGAACGTGAAAGGTAATCTCAGAAAAAATGGGAGGGCAGCTCGAAAATATGAGCTGGCAGCCTGTTTTTTCTGAGGAATAAAGCTCATAAATAAATGGGCGGTAGCTCGGGAAAACCGGGAGGGCAGCCTGTTTTTTCTGAGCAATTCAGAAATAAACGGGCGGGTAGCTCGACAAAACGGGCGGGCAGCCCGTTTTTTCTGAGCAGTTCGGATTGAGCGAAAAATCGCGACCGTTCGGGAAAAACTTCCGATTTCTTCACACCTTTCGACATTTGGAGTGTTGATGAACATCCCTGGACATCCTAACACAATAGAGAACAGATCTAATTCGTTTTTTGAGAGATTTGAGAGCACTTTTGTGGTTGTTCTTGCAAAACACCCACAAAAGCCTTTTGTTCATCTTCTTCTTGCAACTTCTTGTGTTTGTGTTCTTAGTAGAGCAAACTAAGATCACTTCTCTCTTCATTGTATCTCAAAGACGTATTCCGGAAAGTCCTTTGCTCGTATAGGACGGAATAACGTTTTTAGGAAAGTGTATCACGCATTGAAGAGTTATCCGGTTCCTATTTACTTTTTTGTTATTGTTCTTCTTTTTATATCCCAGATTCCTAACAGACCAAGATTCCCAAGCCCCCACACACACACACATTTATATATATATATATATAACAGCCTATACATTTACTTATTTTTTAGGTGAATAGTGCTTTATGAATTATATTTATACGTTTTGAATTTTTATTAACTGTATTGTGATATATAGGATCAATAAACTAAGGTGCACTGAGAGAAAAGAAAGTGATACTTTTGACTCATAGAACTATAAAACACACACTTCTGAAGGTATATATATGTATGTATGTATTATAATAATTATTTTGTGATGTGGTTTACTTAATTAATTGGATAATTAAAAAGAGGTAACTAATGCCATTTTAGGCTACTTTGGCAGTCTTAATTGGGTCTCCTGAAGTTTGTAAAAAAAAAGCCCTTCAGCTTATCTCACTTTGTTGTTGACATCTATGTGATAAGAGCAATTTGTTCGCCATATCATCTTATTTATATTATTATCACTCATCACTAACGTTAGATATTAGGTCATGCATGATTGAAAATTGTTGTATGCTTTTGCGTACCAAACATGTATATCGTATTTTAAAAACGTCGACATATTTAACATAAGATCAAACCGTAACCTTATTATATTTTGATTTAAATCTTAATTTGTTAGCCGAGCAAGAGTATTGACTACATGTATTTAATATAGTTAACAACGTCCAAATTGAAATCAGACGAGTTGAGTTCCACTCGGTCCTATGCAGACACACCACTGAGTGGAAACAACGTGGAATTCAGTACGAGAATAGCTGTAGCCTGTACCGTCACACACATCATCTAGTTATATATTTCAAAAAATATCAAATGCAAATATTTAAAAAATCCCATATTTAAAATAAAGTTTATGAAGTGGAAATTACTAGTTTATCAAGTGTGAAAAAGGTGATCCTTACATATTTGCATTATGATGTAAGTTAAATACGTGATCTAATATTTTATGGTGCACTGAATTCAGACGGTTCATTGTCTAAATAAAAATCTCTGAATCTTAATTAATAAAATTTATTATTTAATCATATAAAAAAAATATTATTTAATAGAATTTGAATATATGAAATAAAATAAAAGTCCACGTGGCGAAAGATTGGGCGCGTACGCTTGGATTGGAGACCCAGTCCATCTTCTGATAAGCCTTATTGTAAAATGGGCCTCCATTAGAGAGCTTATCCTAGAGAATGGGCCTGAAGAAACCAGCCCATTTACAGAATAATGCTCCTATGTATTCTCCCCAATCATTTATCAAGGAAAATTCGATAAAAATAAGGGTACTTCGATTATTCCATGTGATCTTAATTTTTATAAAATCTTCGAGATAAGGCATCGTATTTAGTGCATAGATTTGGACGAACAAACTATAATTCGAATTTGTGATATTTTTCGTGCACAGATTTGGATGAGCAAACTTTATAATTCGAATTTATGACGGGCGAAAAATTGCAACTGTTTATTTCGTTTAGTAATTGTCGTCGTCATTGTCATTATCCCATGGGAGGTGCTAATGAAAACAATCGTCTTTCACGGGCACACGAGCTAATCCACAGAGATCAAGAAGCACCCAGAATTTTTTTTAAAAAAAAATACAGAGAGCCCCCTAAAAAAGAGGATTTCGGGAATTGGTGCGTGGAATCCATCTTGATTGTAACCCATCATCGGAATCGTCGCCAGAAAGAAGAAGAAGAAGAAACATCCAAAGTTTTTTTATATTCGATCTGCTCGACGCAGCAAGGGGGCAAAAAGAGTGATTTTTTTTCTTGAAGGGTTTGAAATATTTTCGGGTGTTGGATCATCAGCTACGAAAAGAACAGGGAAAAAGAATGGCGAATCTGTATGTGAAGGCGGTGCCTCCGGCGGATCTGAACAGGAATACGGAGTGGTTCATGTACCCAGGCGTGTGGACGACGTATATCCTCATACTGTTCTTCGCATGGCTTATTTTTCTCTCCGTCTTCGGTTGCTCCCCTGGCATGGCCTGGACTGTTGTCAATCTCTCCCACTTCGCCGTACGTCAGTCCACGCTTTGATGCTTATTTGCTTGTGGGCGATTTTGAATTTTCTCGGTTTTTTTCCTGGGTTTTGGATGTGAATTTAATATTATGCGAACGAGTGGCTATCTTTCATGTTCTTAGTTGTGGATGCAATATGTTCTGTTTCTGTTAGTTGCAATGGCAAACTTTAATTACTACATGCATCTCTTGTCTGAATTCGGTTCTGGTTTGGCGATGTGATCAGCTGTTGTTCTTAAAATCAGAATGTTTCAGCACTTAAGTGACTTGTGCCATGAACTGGACTTGCTCTGTGTAAAAAAAACTCCTCGAGAGCTCAGATAGGTCGGAAAATTGGATAATCCGATGGCTTCTGATTGGAGGTCTTGACTCTGTCAAAGCCAAAGCTCCCACTTCACCTGGTTCCTACACTGTTTTTAAGTTTTGCTGCTGTAATTGTATTGAAGGTTTTTTGTCAGCAAGATCCAGTGAGTGCTTTGTGGGTTTATTTTTGTTTCTTCTCAGGTAATTTATCACTTCTTCCATTGGAAGAAAGGAACACCCTTTGCAGAAGACCAAGGAATCTACAACAGGCTGACATGGTGGGAGCAGATGGACGGTGGAAAGCAGCTTACACGCAACCGCAAGTTTCTTACAGTAGTTCCTGTCGTGCTGTAAGCCCTACTTGCTCGTTGATAGTTGTTTCCTGTCTTTGGCTTTTGATTGTTCCACTGGGCATTTCTTTTAAGCATTTGAATGAATTTTAGCTTGTTTGTAGGACTTCTGCTTGTGCGTGTTTTGAATGAGTGTTACCGGGCATGCTTATATTGAGCAGAGGAATCTTGATGATGTGTATATATACACATAACATTATAGATTAGAAAACCTGAAACCAATATATGTTTGTGTTTGATTTTCAGCCTTCTATATTGAATCATGTGTAGCCTTTCGCTCAACTTACTAATCCACATCTGTGATTCATGTCTGCCTAAATCCATTTCAATGGAAACTCCATCCTTAAAGCTCGGCGGGTACCTCAAATCGGTTAGATCTTCTTTTGACAAACTGTCCTGATGTCGTCTATATCATCTGCCTTGGCTTTCCGAGATTCTCGTTTGATCTCGGGGCTTGAGTTGAGAACAATAAATCGGTATTTTTCCTTCTTTTTCTGAAGCACGATATCGATACATAAAACCGCTGAATGAGGCAGGTACTTGATAGCATCTCATACAACAGACTACAAGCATCCATGGCTGTTCCTCAACACGCTTGCTGTCACTATCCTTGTAATAGCCAAGTTCCCTAACATGCACAAGGTACGCATCTTCGGCATCAACGGTGATAGGTGACCCATTTGCCTCTCTTGTCTTGTCCACTGCTGGATGTGTTTCTTCTCCGGCAAAAAACAACAGATAGAAGGAAGGGCGATGCTTATATATATATATATAGAGAGAGAGAGAGAGAGAGAAGCTGTTTTATGGTTTTTTGACAAAAGTGTTGGTTGGCTTACTGAGTGAAGAGAGTACATGTTATGTGCAGAAGTTGGTATCTTTTGAAGCTTTGTCCGTATTGTGCAGACCACGTACGCAATGGAAGTTCTCAACCGGAAGAGCCTTTGGACTGAAATGGTACTGTCAGTTCTTCTGTGTCTACGCAATTTCTTAGCCATAATCGTACTCCTATGCACTTTCGCACTGTTTTTTCATCAACAGAGATGATTTCTGTCCGGTTTCGATTCATGGGTCTGCTTCTGATTTTGGCATTTCCTGACAAGTTCGTAACTTTCCTCGAACACAGCACGATGTTGAAGAGCCTTTGGACTGAAATGGTACTGTCAGTTCTTCTGTGTCTACGCAATTTCTTAGCCATAATCGTACTCCTATGCACTTTCGCACTGTTTTTTCATCAACAGAGATGATTTCTGTCCGGTTTCGATTCATGGGTCTGCTTCTGATTTTGGCATTTCCTGACAAGTTCGTAACTTTCCTCGAACACAGCACGATGTTCTAAACGTGATCCTTTCTGCTTGAGACTTGCTTTTTAGGGTTCCTCGTTAATGTATGGATCTGGCTGAACTTTCCGATAACCACTAGGAGCTCCACCTATGAAATTCCTCAGATCCCTTAGAACTCTAACAGGGCTCAGCTTCTAGAAGCATTACGCCATTCACAAACCCGGTCGAGAGAAGCAGAGAAGGCGGCAAGAGAAGCGTGCACGGAGAAAGACCGTGCATGCGAGTCAGCTGTTTGCTTACAAGCAATGGTCCCAACTTCTGCAGCTGGAAGTTCTTTACCTGCAGACAAAGAGCAAAGAGAAGCAGAGATCAGGGAGGAGCCCGAGGAAGAGGAGCAAAAAGGTGGCGGCTTTTGCATTAGGGTTCAGCCTAATTGGTGCTGGTTTCTCTTGGGTTGGCTATTGCCTTTCTAGAATACGCTAGAATCTTTTTTTTTTTTTTTTTTTTTGACTGGGCTAAGGAATGCTATATTACGGTCTTTTAACTCAAAACCTATACCTCTAAATGGAAATTTAATCGGACCAATCAATCAAATACCAATGAATTCATGGACCAAAAGATACAACATTCATATTCTCCTTTCTTTACACAATTAAAAACATTCAAACATCTATCATATATTATATAGTCGAAGACAGCAGAAAACACATTTTCACAGACGTCGTTTGGAAAATTTATCAAAGTTATCTCAGATAACTTGTAAGAAGAAACACAAACACTTTTGATCTCTCTATTTTTTTTTTTTTGTGGGATCAAATTCTAATCTTCTTGTTCTTCCATGGAACCACCACCTGCTTTAGTCCTTCACAAACAGTCGTCTGCACAAAAAAAAAAGCAGATACATATATGAAATATACGTAGGTATAAAGTTGTAAAGCATAGGTATAACATGCCTAATATCACGATGCATGCAGTAAGCTTTTATTTGATATCGATTAAAGCACCAAACTTTTAAGACATTTGCAATTTAGACAAATCCGCTCAAAGCTCGTTACCTCAGTTGTCAGTTTTTAAGAATCTAGTGTCTTAATTGCCCATTTTATTTTTCTTAAAGTTTAATGCTTTGAGTAAGCTTATAATAAAACTCCATCACTCGAATTGCGATATAATGTAAAGTCTTCCTTTGTTCCTTAATTACGATCCATAAAAATGAAAAGAAAAAAAAAAAAGACAGAACGGAAACAGAGGACTTACCCAGAAGTGAGACTTTGGAGTAGAAGAAGACAGCGTAGAGAAACTGCCTGTTCTGCTAATCATTTTTACCTTCTCTTCATCGCCACGGCCATTGCCATCTTCTTCGCTTTCTGTGTGAACAGAAGTTGGAAAGATGTAACTGCCCCCACCAAGCTCCGTATTTCCCTTCAGTGCCCTCTTCCTCCAAAACCCGACAAACCCAAGTCTCCTCCCTCTGTAACCTTCCCTCTTCCTCGCAAGAACCAGAGACTTCTTTTTCATTTCCTCTTCCTCCGTCTCATGTAAGCCGCCATAGATGTCGCTCCCGAAGGATCCATAACAGTCGCCACCACTCACCACCATCATCCTGAAGGATGATGACTCAAACCTCCGTGACCTCCCCATGCTGTACGGCCCATCGAGGACAGTTGATGGCGAGGACAGTAGTTTGGCGATTGACTTGCCATCTTTTTCCACCGAGTCCAAAAGCCTAGGCGGTAGTTCCAGGGACTTCTTGTTAGGAGAGCATGAAGATGATGATGGGGATGAAGAAGAAGAAGGTTGGTGCTTGGGCTTGCCTGGTTCTTCTTCCCAGCTAAAGGAGACGGAAGCTAAAGCCATGGGGTGAATGGGCGATGAGAGAGAGTGTTTGTGGCTATGGGGTTTTGATGGCAAGAGTGGAAGCTTTAGAAACGTTGTGCCTCCCTCCTGCTCCTCTTCTTCACGCCCCATGGAAGCTCTCTCTCTCTCTCTCTCTCTCTCTCTCTCTCTCTCTCTCTCTCTGAGTGCTTTCTCTATTATTTTTAGCGCTTCGTGTAGATTTGGGAATCAGGAATCTGAATAATAAGGAGAGAGAAAGAGAGTGACTGTTATAAGAAAAATAAAAACATCAATTAATTCAAAATAAAGTAGAATTGAAGAAAATGAAAAAAAAAAATAAACGTATTTTTTGGGGGTTTGCCAAAGAGAAAGATAGAATTGTATGGGCAGGGAGAATGGTCAGTCAACTCAACCCATTTTCAGTCGTAGTAATCTGAAAGTGAAGATTGGCTTTTGCTAAAGCTGGGTTTGGCCTTTCATTCGAAATCAAACGTGGCAAAAAAAGAAATATATCATTACATAACACAAGCCGAGTGTTTGCAAATAATAATAATAAGAAACCAAAAATAAAATAAAAATTTAAGTTAATCTTACCATTCGCCAGCTCGTGTTCCCGTCCTCCTTAAACCTAACCTACCAGTTTACTACACTCTTTATCGTCTACATCATTTTTTTTATCTAATCTAAAAATTCACTAAAAATTTTGATCTAACTACATCTTCCGAAATATCGAAAAAGTACGGATAAATATCTTTTTCTACATTTGAGTTTAAACGGTTTGCATGTTTTGATACAAGTAGACGATCGTTTATATAAACTTATTAGGTCCCCTCGTGAAAACATCACGTTCTTAAGATTATATATGGGGTGGAACACAAAAACATCAATGACACTAGTGATTAACAAATTAGGTTAAATAATTTGACAGTGTAGATTTTAATTATTTGATAACAATGAGACCAACACCAACACAAGAAAAAAAAAAAGAAACTGATTTCAATGAGAAAATGATAGGAACAATTAATTAACGTAAAATGATTTGTCTCTTTCATAAACTATGCCATTGCCCTTCCCGTGTGTTTTCATTATCAAGATTTACGCAGAGACAACCATATATATATATATATACAGTGGAGAAAAAGCATACAACTTGACATACTCTCTTTTAATAAGATTCAGATACGTTCATTATATACGAATATTTAAGGGCCACCCCGTTTGCTACCCATCATGGACAATATGCATATAGACATATATATATATATATATATATATATGCATTCCAGCATGTGAATTCTACACAGATCATAATATCTATCAAAGAACACAAGCAAAAGCTTTGTGCATGCATGTATGAATAAAGTGGCACCCTTTTTTTCCCCTCTCATGTCAAATAAAAAAAAGCACTATTCTTTTTTTTCTCTCTTTCAAATAAAAAAGTAGAGAGAACATGAGACAGAGACGCAAAAAAGAATCTTAAAATTCCTATGACGAACAGGGTTTTAGAATATTGCATTGAAAAAGAGAAAAAATAAACAGAATTTTAAAATACTTTTTATTTGCATTGATATCTTCGTGTGTGATTAGGGATGGGCGTTTTGGGAATCTGTTCGGGTTTGGGACGAGAATACATCGGTCTGGTTTTTTCGGTTTTACAAAAAAAATAGGTACCAATCAGTTTTTATATTATGTTCGATTCGATTCGGTTTCGATTTTTATTAAATAAAATAGATTTTATTTAAAATGTTTTGGTTTTTGGGGAATTTTTAAAATTCGATTTCGGTTCGGTTATGAGAAATTTGGATTTTTAAAAATAATACGATTCGTGAATTTAAAACCGTTCGAATCGACAAAAATACCATATTTTTCGGTTTGGTTATGAATAACCGAATCGAAACCTCCATTCCTATGTGTGAACATCTTGGTTCTGACAATTTCATTATGCTTACAAAAAAAAAAGGGCCCCAAAGGCCGAAAACAGTGTTGTATGTAAATGAGTCGATTTTAATAAACAAGAGAATATAAAACGACAAATTAAAAAATAAGAAAGAAAAAAATAGGGGAGAGATGAAGATTCCAAAGAACATTAAAGATGATATGAGAGTATGAGACACTTTACTTTTTATTTGTTTGGAGCTTTCTTCAATGGCCACCTTGAATAAATTGGAGGGAATCATGACAGAACAAAAAGGAATTTAATTCAAAAGAAAATCAGAGGAAAAGTTCTTTGGTTCCAAAAAAGTGTTTAATAATAACTCAATAATTTATAATTCAAGGAAATAAACTAAAAACAGGGGAAATCCCAATTTTGATATATTGAATATTCAGTTTGTTGTGGTAACTTATAAAATTTAAAAAAAAAATGTTAAAATCATACACAAATACCTCAGCTTTACAAACTTCTTTTTCGGGTGAATCGATCTGGAGGATAATTAATAAATTATATTACCAGGTTGAATAACAAAGCTCATCATGATTGATTTCTACAGTGAGTCATAGATGTATCAAATAAATATATAATTTTTTTTTATTTGATATAATTAATACCACAAATATTAAAATATTTTTAAATTGATAAGTTCTCAATTTTTTTTATATCATATATAAATGATTTATTCAAACAAATTCTCAAAGAAGGTTAGTACGCCTTTTTTTTATAAATGAATCGCGTTGAGATAATTGATATCACAAATATTAAAATATTTTAAATTGATACTTCAGATTATGAAATCGATATCAATTTTTAATTTTTTTATATGATATATAAATGATTTATTCGAATAAATTCTCAAAAAAAGGGTAGAACGGTTTTTTAATGAGTCGTTCAAAGATAGATTTTATATTAGATTTGATTAAATTAGGATAATTTGATATTCGATTACAAGGATATTATTAACAAAATTGTCCACCCACCCAGAAGATGCTAAAGCGGAAACCAAAAACGGAACTCTCTCCAAGGCTTGGGGGTAACATTAGAATCTTAAAATTGTTAAATGAAGCCCATGATTTCCATACTAAGCCCGAAATGGAACAAATAATGGGGCCCATTAAGAGGTGAACTATTGAAGCCCAAATTCAAAACCACTTGATTGCCCCAAAAAAAAAGTTACAGTACTTGATTTAAAAAAAATATTTGTCATATACTTAATTTGCTTTATGGATTTTCAAGTTGTTCATGGCTTTTTTTTTTATATCGTAGTGAACCTTATTTGCTACCCATCGAACACGCTGGTTAGATAAATTACCGTCCCACAACACACGTACGGAAAAGATTAATCGGTTATAGCCGAGAAATCGAACTCATGACCTTTCAGTCCAACCACCTTACCAACTCATCGGGGTTTCTCCCTAAGACTGTACATGTTTAAGAGCCATATGAAATTATTTTGTTCCTAATTTTAAATTCAAGATTTGTATTCATGGTCCAAAACCGTCTAGATACGGCCTATTGGCCTAACATAGATTGCTAAATACAGTTCCGTTTTCCAGGAAATGGAAAATTGATAATTACGTACCAGTCGAATACAAAATTATTTTGTCCGAAATGTTGAAGTCATATCGTTTTTTTATAGCACGTGTTGAACAGCAAACCTTGTGTGTGTGGTTCAAATTAGAATTTTATCGGAATGGAGAAGACAAAGGGATTAACAACGGTTCCTATATTCCATTCCTTTGTGTCACGTGGTTTCAATTTGCAGTGAGCCGGTCCCACATCGTAAAAAAGAAGGGCACGTGTCAAAATTAAGCAACGAAACAGAAACATACACGTCTATACACATACGTACATACATCATATGTGTTTGTGTATATGACATGTTATAACTTTGTATCATTATCGTAATTTCATAAATGTCCATGCAACATATTAACATGTAGCTTTATGGGATGTCGTCTAATTTCATCATCAGCAACGATCACTAAACCTAAAAGCAATTATTTCACTTCCTAATTAACCACACTCTTCAATCTCAATAACCCCCAACCACTTGTTCCTTAACGAATCTAACCTGCCGTGCCGGGTTATGAATAGGAAGCAGCACGCGCTGTCGTTTTTGATGCAGATGGACGACAGCACACAATTTTGGACCCGCAGGTTTGTGGCCCGTTTCCGGAGCCCAAGAAACATCCAAATTAGGGCAAGGTTCAGTACAAGAAGGGCTCGAAAAGGAAAGATTCGTCCTCTAACAATATGACGTGTGATATTAATGTCACATGGTTACAAGAATTCCAATTTCTTTCCACCATTTTTGTGTATCAATAAATTCTTGTGGTCCGTCACAATGTAGAAATACATAAATATTTATATCTACATTATACGGAACTAATTTATTTGAATAACTGATAAAGAGTGGACAATTTATATCATTTAATTTATTTGTACAAAAAAAAATCAAATTGAATTTGTGGGTTAACTTTGGCCATATATCTTAATCTTTCAAGAACGCGATGGATAAGATGATGGGATTCGTGCTGTATATATTCGCGAGGAATCGTCTAACTGATCTCGATTGTAATTCTATATGAGATATCAAAAGTTTCATAAGTTTACAATATTGAATGATTACAATATATATATATATATATATATATATATATATATATATATATACACCTAAAAATTTAACGGAACGTGTGAACTTGAAATGAATACGTTGTCGACTTAACCATTATTATATGGTATTATCTTTCACAATTTGTAATTCCTTTTAACAACAATAATAATCATATGTAGTTGCAAAAGTCATATGGCCTCGATCCCATTGGCTAGGAAACACCAGTTTCAGACATAAATATAGGTTAATTGTATACCGCATCACCAATTCTGGGTTATATATAAAGATTGTGTTATATATACAGTCCAACGATAAAAAAAAAAATCGATACATAAACTATGTATAACATAGATGTATAGTATTTTTTTTTTTGGTTTAATGTGATTGTTATATTACTACCAAAAAATAACCCGAAGGATCCCGAGAGATAATGATTCCTATTACAAGTGAACAAAAATAACGAAGACTTAAATCTCAGTCATAATATATAAGGCGATATTTATAGTATTCCTATTACATAGATGTATAGTATTTCGATATATGGTTAAAGCAGATACATGTTTTTTATATATCGAGCATAATATATATACATGCATGTTGAAAAATTATACTCACACACGATATTGTCAAACGAGAATTCCCAAAACTGATTCTATTACTTGATACGTGAAAAGTACACTTCAA